GCCCCTCCCGGCCCTCGGCCACCTCCACCCTTCCCCTTGTGAACGTGTGGGTTCTCCTTCCCTGCTTTTTACTGGCTTTTTAAGCCTCTGTTTTATTCCCTCATCATTTGATTTCTGTCCAAGACACTGACATTTATTAATACAAGGGCACATCCATATTCAGCTCACATGACACTGCACTTTGGAAGTTTTAAGGACCTGCTCTCAGAGGGTCTGATCCGACTCGGCAGTGCCTTGGGAGGAGCCCTCCTGATGCTCCTCCTGAGCCCCGCACTGGGCCGGTCGCAGAGCCCAGCAGGGGAGTGTCGGGTGGTGGTGAGCCCAGTTTGGCAGAGGAGCCACATGGTCAAGGGGGTGTGAGAAGCTGGGAACGGGGTTACCGATGGGTCAGGGAGCTGGCAGCTGGCTCAGACTGAAGAGGTTTGGAGAACCTAAGCCGGCTCTGTCGGCACGTTCCCAAGGTATGGCTCCTCAAGCTGCCCGTCCTCTCCACGCCTGCCCTGGGTTGCTCTGTGTGGGCGAAGGACAGCTCCAGGAGTGAGGGGGGTGGGGGCCAACCTGGCGGTCAGGCGGAGGCTCAGGTCCCACCTTCCAGGTTGGAGCAGCCACCAGCTGCCCGCCCCAGGATCCTTCCCGAGTCCCCTGGCTGCCCCCTGTGCCTGCCTCCTGCAGCCTGGCAGGGTGGAACCAGGCATCAGAATTGCACAGGGCAGTCCCTCCAGCCGGTCCATCTCAGCTCCCTTGGGTACCAATGAGGAAACTGAAGCCGAGGAAAAATAACTGACTAGTTCCTGCACTCCAGTAAGTTTGCATGAAAGCCAGACTTCCGTGGGTTTTTCTCTCCTAATTGAGTCTTCTCTCCGCCCTCCTCACTGCTCCAAAACCCCTCCCTCCGCGCTTGTAGCCACCAAGTGACCTGCTGCAGAGAAAGCAGTACTGGCCCAGGGTTCTCAAGCTGTCAGTCAGCTCGGTGACCTCTTCTGTTTCTCAACCTCTCCCTTTTCTCCTCTGTCAAACAGAAAAAAAAACACTGATTGGATTTAGTAAGAACAGAATAGAATAATCTATGAGTGATCACAGAGTTGTTTTGACTAAATTAAAAAAAAAAAAAGAAAAGAAAAGAAATTGCGGTCATCCCGGTTGGTATGGCTTAGTTGTTTGTAGCCTCGTCCTGTAGACCTAAAGGTTGCAGGTTCGATACCCGGTCAGGGCACAGCATGTATGAAAACACTCTCCCCCTCCCCCTGTTCTTAAAGAAAAAGGAAATTGCCCTCAAATAGGTCAGAGGACACATAAATGTAAGTTTAGGGGTCATTGATCCCCCAAATCTGGCCATACTAGGAAGTGACTCAAAGTGTTAAAATGGGGTTTCATCCCCTAGGGGTTCATTTGGGGTGCTTTGTTTGGGGCTGTGGGGTGTTGCTGTGTCCCTACCTGTGTTTGCTGCTCCTTCTCCTGGATGTCCCCACCAGTCCCACCATAAAGGAGGTGACGTTCTGAGCATGAGGGCACAGTACCCCTTCTTTCTCCCCACCCCCTCCCCCTGCCCAGCTCCACACCCTTTTGGTTCAGAATCTTCTGCAGAAGATGGACTTCCCACCCTAGCTTGCTCCTCCCTTCCGTGGTCACCCTTGCTCCAGTGTGCTGTGCTTCTGTGGGGGTGCCTGGCAGACAAGAGGGGCCATTCCACACTCACGGCGCCTGGCTGCCCTGGACCGCCAGGAGGCTCCAGGCCTTCCAGTCCTGGGAGCAGCGGCCTGAGATGTGGCGGCCCCTTCAGGCCGGAGCAGGAGTGGCAGCATCTGTGAAGCAGTGACAGGTGGCTGCTGGGGCACCCAAGTTTACGTAGGACACAGTCTCTGCTGGCCAGAGAGACTCTTACTTCCATTTCTGGAAGCTCCCAGAATACAGAGGTCCCCCGCGGTTTTACTTTCTGTGGTTTCAGCTAGCTGTTGTCAACTACGGTCCAAAAACATTAACGGAAAATTCCTGAAATGAAAAATTCGTAAGTTCTGTTATGCGCCGTTCTGAGTAGCGTGACGATGCCTCCTGCCATCCTGCTCTGTCCCGCCTGGGCTGTGACCATCCCTTTGTCCCGAGTATCCACACTGTAGATGCACTCTCCCTGTTAGTCACTTAGCAACCGTCCTGGTTTTCAGGGCTGCTCTCACAGTGTTGCAGTGCCCGTGTTCAAGTCCCCCTTATTTTACTTAGTGGGGACTCCGAAGCTCAAAATCAGGTCCACTCGCAATCCAGGTAAGCCACGGAGAAGCCAGACAGTGCTCCTTTGAAGGGCAAAGGCGGGTGAAGTGCAGTAAGATATTTTTGAGAGAGATTGACTGCATTCACATAACTACTGTTACAGCATATTGACATAATCATTCTATTTTCCTGTTGTTGTTAATCCCACACTGTGCCTGATTTATGAACTAAACTTTACCCTAGGTGTGTGTGCGTGTGTAGGGAACAGCATTGTGTGGCCACCGGAGGACTTGGAGCACGTTGCCTGTGGATAAGAGGGTGTACTCTGTTTTTGAAATAATGCTAGTAAAGAAACAGGGCCACTGAGCTGTAGTATATTTTAAGCATTTACTTGGAACGGAGTAACGCTTTTCACACTCACACAGCAGTGCGACGGTGCTATTCACAAGACAACAGAAATTTTAAAACAAAGCAAAACAAACCACAGTGCACCAAAGCCTAGAAGTGGGACACCTGTTTAAAGTTGTCTGATGAGTCTCATTTTTTTACCCCATCTGTCTTTTCCTGGTGTGTATGTGAGCCTCATCTGAGAGAAGATCAGGACTGAATCTGAGGGGGACTTGAGGATGGGGCACCGCCATGCTGGGCCTGGCCGGGGGCTCCCACCCGTGCCTCCTCTCAAAGCAGTCCACAGTGGAAAGCAGGAGCCTGCATGTGCTTGCTGAGTGGGATAGAGACCCCTGTGGGCAAGGTCCTGGGCTTGGTCCCCAGGGCACTTAGCGGTGGTCTGCATGCTGCCCCCTGCTGGTCATCACAGAAATGGGTGACACTGGTCTGGAACAGCCATTCTCAAAGCCTGGGCTGGCGGGTCCCCAACAGGTCAGGGGGTCTACAAGGTCAAAGTTATTTTATAATAATAATAAAATATTTGGTCTCATTTTCTCACAGATGTAGATAAGGTGAAAAGTTTGTTGATGTGGTTTCAGATGCCACATTAGAACTAATCTTTAAGAAACAGCCAGCGGTCGAGTGTCGGTGCAGCGTGAGAGAGGAGCCACAGGTGGCTGGGAAGGTCATTCCAACACTCCCCCTTTTCCAGCCTTAGCACACACCTGCGAGAGCCTGGGTGTCCCTCGTGCACTTAACAAAACCACTCTGGAGAGGGATTGGATGAAAAGCCAGGTGGGAACATCCGGCTGCTTTTTGTTAAGCCGACCATTACACAGACTTACGAAAATGTAAAGCAACACTATTATTCTCACTAAGAGTTTTTGTTTTGAGAATACAGTTTTTATTTTGTGAAGTATGCAAACATCTAATGAGTTTAGTACTTTAATGAAGTTTAAATCTGTTTCTGTTTTAAATATCTAATATTGTAAGTATTGACAGATATAGCCCATAGTCCTTTGGAGTGCTTCAGTGTTTGGAGTGGAGTGTTTGTAACAATTTAATGGGATATAATTCCTGTACCATCAAATTCATACTTTTACAGGGTACAGTTCAGTGGCTTTGGTGTGCGTGACCGTCACCGTAACTCCAGGACATTTTCACCCCAAAGGAGCCCCGAGCCCAGTCAGCCCCCAGCCCAGCGTGACCGCTGCTAAGCTCCTTCTGTCTTTGGAGCTCCACCTTTCTGAACAGTTCGTGGAAACAGGGCCACACCACACAGCCTTTTGTGTCTGGCTTCTTTCATTCAGCGTAATATTCTCCAGGTTCATCCATGTTATGGCCAAACAATATTCCTAGTATGATAAGCCACACTTGATCCATTCGTCAGCTGACGGACATTTGAATTGCTGCCACTTTTTGGCTATTGTGAATACCATTGCTGTGAATGTGGACACATGTGTCTTTGTGTGGACGTGTTTTTAGTTCTCTTGGGTATACACCGAGAAGTAGTTTCTGGGTCACATGGTAACTCTGGCCCTACTAGGAAGTGACTCAAGACTAAGATCCAACCTCAGTACCTTTTAAGAGGAAAGAGAAAGAAGTTCTGTGTTTGGGCTAGATGGGATTAGAGCAGGGGAGCGTGGGTAACTCAGGACAGCCCGCCATCTTTGCTCTGGGTTGATGCCCTCAAAATCACCTCTGTGCCCACCCTCGTCTTCCTTTTTCTCTAACACAATTCCTTGGTGGCAAAGAGAAAGCCAGTATGACAGACTGTAGACATTAAACCACCAGAAAGTTCTGGGGCTGGGTCACCTCTCTGCAGGATTTCCAGGGTGCCACTCACACCGTGTCCCCTGCAGGTGTGTGGGTGGCAGTCTCGGCCACAGCTGTGAGTGTTGGCCCTCCTCCCTGCCCCAGCACTATGATCACTGGCTGTGGCATAACCTCTTGGGGAGCAGAGTCTGAGAAGTCCTCATAAGCAGAGCTGCGGAAGGTGGCTGGCTTCAGCCACAGCCATGTGCCTGCGGTCGCTGCTCAGGTCCCCTCCAAAGAGAAGGGCTCTCTAGCCATACCCCCCACCCCCACTGCCCACCCAGCCCCCTCCAGCGAGGTGATGTGCTAAGCACAGCTGTACTTGGAGGGAGCAGGCACCAAATCCTCCCCAGCTCAGGGCTTGCCAGCTAGATTGAAAATGCAATTGCCCTCCCAGAGTTATGAGGCTTTTGAAAGAGGAGCTCAGAGGGAACAGTATTTAGCTGGAGGAGTGGTTCTGAAGGTGAGACTCCAGGCAGCAACGGGCAACATATGGGGGTAGGTCAGAAGTGCCAGTGTGCGGAGCCTGAGGGACCTGCCTGCCATCTGCACCCCAGCCACTGATACGCTCTTTCTTTTTCTTCCTCTCACCTCAGATGTGACTCCCCCCACTGGCTGGATGCTCCAAGCATGGCCGACACCATCTTTGGCAGCGGGAGCGACCAGTGGGTCTGCCCCAATGATCGGCAGCTTGCCCTGCGAGCCAAGTGAGTACCTCCGAGGCCTGGCCAGGTCCCCTCCTTCCTGTCCCTGTTCCCCTCCTTTCTTGGGCAAGAGTCAGTCCCAGGGACCCAGAGAGACATGCGTGGAGACAAGGCCTGGCTAAGAAACACATGCTCCATGCCCTGAGCCAGCACTGAGCAGCCACGCACGCATTTACTCGGCCTGTGGAATTTACCTCCGTTTCTCAGGCAAGGAAAGTGAGACCGGGCTCCCTGCCCAAGTCACAGACCTTGCGAGTGGCAGGGCCAGGACTGCGCTGGGGTCCTTCCGACTCCCGCACCTGCATCATTTTTGTCACTACAGGCCTCGAAGAGCCAGGCCACTTGCTTTGCCTTCCCTGTTAAGAGCATAAATCCCCCCACCCCGCCACCCCAAGTCTTCTGTCCCTGAGCCCCCGGAGGCGGGGAGCCTTTGACCTCTGGAGGCCCAGGTACAGCTGAGCTCCCGGCGCTGACCGACAGGACAGAGTGCAAGCATGTCCGTGAGTGCAGAGCCGCACCCAGTGCCGGACACACAGCCGCTCAGGCACCCCGGGCTCCGCAGGCCTCCTGTCAGGGTCTCTCTGGTTCGGCCTCGTCCCCTTGGGTGCCCCATCCCCTTCCTGTTCTCTCTCATCCCGGCAACTCTCAGCTCCACCTTGGCTGGGCTGTCTCTCCCTACTGTCCGCCTCTGGCTGAAGCCCAGGGGCTCGGAAAGGCCTCCCTTGCCCTCCTGTGTCCCCGTCTCTCCAGTGTGTTGGAGGTCCCTGGTGTCAGATCAGCCTCAGAGAACCCTTCATCTGTCAGACCTTGCCAATCACCAGAGCCAGCATTTCACAAATGGGACCAAGTTCAAACAATCTGTGATTGGATGTGATGAGCCTGCAGGGACACAGAGCTGAAACATCAAAGGGGGCGAGAAAAATTAATCTGAAATGCCCCAGGAGAGTGGAGTCCTGCATGATCTGCAGTTCGTTCGTCCCTCTCACTGGGATGGCTCAGCCCCGCGGGGGAGGAGACCAGGGAGGGAACCAGCCCCCGCCATGTGTCCTGCCCGCCTGGGTTCAAGGAGCCGGAGAGCACTGCACTCTTGTACCAGGGCCCCGTGTGACCCCTGCTGCCCCGCCAGCATTTCCTTCAGTTTCCCCTGACCTTGGCTCACACTCAGTAGCAGCCGGAAGCTGTTGTCGCACCTTTGAGAAGAGCAAATGCTTTTATCTTCTCCCTGGGGCGTGCTGCCTTGGAGTGCCAGGCCCCATGTCGTACCAGGCCCCGTGTCACACCAGGCCCCGTGTCACACCAGGCCCCGTGTCACACCAGACTCCATAAAGGAGAGCACTCCCCTTGTCCACTGTGCCGAGGGACCCTCCGGGACTCCTGGGGAAATCACCCTCCCTGGCTCTAGCTCAGGTCCATCCTTCTTCCTCCAGCCTCGACCTAACATTTTCTAAACTCTTACTGCGTGCCTGGCAGCAGTTGCACAGCAGTGAATAAGACTACTACAGTCTTTTGTCTTCAGGCGCTAATGGGTACAAGTGAGCATTATACGCATGGTGACCCGTGAGCTTTGACAGGGGACACAGGCAGTGGGGGTGGAAGGGGTGCAGTAGGGGGTGATAGGGGTGGCTAAGCCAATCTGGGAATGGGGCGGGGCTTCGCTTAGATTATGACACTTAAGTTGAGTCCTAGAGGAGGGGTAGGTGTTAGAGGCAAATATGGGGGAGGGGTTCCTAGAAGAGGGAACAGCATGTGCTAAGGCCCTAAGGCAGAAGGAGCAGGCATGAAGAGGACCTAACAGGAGGCCAGTGTTGACGTGAATGCAGGGTGAGTGAGGCGGTGAATGGCATAAAGGGATGGCAGAGGCCAGATGGGGCAGGGCTGGGTCCTCCAGAGACTCCCATTCTGGAGAGGGGACAAAGGGTCCCAGCTTGCCTTGAAATGAAGTTTAAGCTCAGCAGTGGAGCTATGCCTGGACCTTGTGAAAACTTGGAGCATGGATTCTCCAAGTTTCCCCATGGAGCATGGGTTAAGACCCATCTTGGAGGGGATCAAGGAAAAAACCCCTGGTGAAGATCATGTGTAAAAGAATAGGAGTGAGCCAGGGGAAAGGGGGTTCGGGAGAGACACATGCTCCCCAGGTGGAGGGCATGGAGTGAGCAAGGCCTGGAGACACCCTGGAACTCGGGGCGCTAGAAGCAGATGTTGGTAATGCACACCTCGTGAGGTCAGGGGAGCTGAGGGAGGAGGGGCCTCTGGGGGGCATGCAGATGGGTGCTGGGCACCACTGAAGGTAGGCTGCAGCCCGTCTGCATCTGGCAGCTTGTTTGGCCTTCGCTGGCTGTGTGGAGGGGCACTGTGGGGAAACATGACGCTCAGTGGCAGCCACGGCTGAAAGTGGGAGTGGGGCCTGATGGGACGTGTGGGGAGCCGGGGGAAGAGTCACATGGGGGGCCTAGTGGGTGGTCAGATGGAGGCAGGAAAGGTGGCTCGGAGGATGAGGACGCGGGAGCTCCCTCTGAGGAGTCGGGAATCCTGCCTTGCAGAACGGCACAAGGCCCAGTGGAGGGGCCTGCAGAGCGCCAGGCCGGCCCTGGGCCCTGCGTGAGCCAAGTGGGAGCTGCAGCCCCCTGGGACAGCTGGTGGTGCTGGTGCTGGGCCCTCCTGCCTCTGACCGACGCAGTCAGTTCCCCTTGTTTACACGTCCTCCCGACACCCGCCTGCATGGCCCCCCACAGCACAGCCCCAGCCCCCTGTGGGCCTGGCATCGCCATGCGTGGATGCTCAGTAAGCGTGCATTGAGTGAATAGCTCTTATAATTTCTCATTAAATGAATATTGTGTAATTGGTTGGGCCTCCGTCTCCCCCAGCACACTGAAGTTCTTCAAGGTGGTGACTTCGCCATCTTACCCCCAGCGCCTGGCACAGAATGTCTCGGAGAAGCCGGGACCCAGGGCAGGCAGCCTGGGGCTTGGCCTGCTGCTGCCACTCTCTCCCCATCCAGAAAAACAGAAAGGGTTTGAGTCCGTCCTCTCGGACCCCGGTCACAGCCACAGGCCCCTGGGCCCCAGCCCACCTCTCCTGCTGCCTGCCCTGGCTAGCTCCCCTCCCCTGCAGCTTGGTTACCCCCTGCCCTTGCGCCATTTGCTTTCAAAATGCTGTCAATCTCCTTTTATCCTCGAGATTTATTTTAAACCCAATTACAGTGCTTTCCTTGTCCATGGTAAACTGTCTCACTTTCTTCTATGACTCAGATGTGGGTTTTTATTCTTGTCCTGATCATCTCCTGGGCTTCTCCCGCAACACCTCGCGCGCCATGACGGTGGCCTCCTCCATTTGCACAGCAGGTGCATTCCACGCTCCTGCCTTCCGGGGAGCTGAGGTGACACTGCCGTCCTCTCCAGGCCCAGTAGCTGGTAGGTGGCAGAGCTGCTGCGTGGAGCCTAGCGTCTGCCCTGTTCCCTGACACACAGCAGCCAGGCGTTTTGTGGATGTGACGGGGTGGGGTTTGCGCTGGGGTGGCCTCAAGGCCTGTGTTGTTCTCTCTCGAGGCTGCAGACGGGCTGGTCCGTGCACACCTACCAGACAGAGAAGCAGAGGAAGAGCCAGTGCCTCAGCCCAGCGGAGGTGGAGGCCATCCTGCAGGTCATCCAGAGGGCCGAGCAGCTCGATGTCATGGAGCAGCAGAGGATCGGGTAAGGGCTGCCCCAGCCAGGTCAGCAGCGGGTCGGCGAGAGGGGGACAAGGGCACCTCGTGCCAGATCAGTGGGCTAGGGGTCTGGCACCCTCGTCCTAGGGCTGGGTTTTCACGTCCGGGAGGGAGTCAGCTCTGCCTGAACACCCCTGAGTGCAGACACATAACCCAGCCCATCAAAGCCTCGATATACCCATCTGTAAGGTGGGGGTAGCGGGTGATGTGCGGACCCCAGGCCGTAGAGGGCGAGCGAGTGTGGTGAAATGCGTTAGGGGCTGTTCGGCTCTGCACACTGAAGGGTCAACTGTGGTTCGGCAGTGAGGGATTTAAGTCAAGGCTCAACCTGGATCGTTCCAGATAAGACTCCCACAGGAGCTGCTCTCCAGCTTGTTCTAAGCTCTTCTCCGGGCCCGGCATCCAGAGCTGACTGTGACACAGATTGCAAATAGCTTTGTTGGGGTGGTGTTTTTTTTTTTTTTGCTTGTTTCTTTAAAAATTTGATTTATTGATTTGAGAAAGAGAAACATCAGTTTGTTGTTCCATTTAGTTATGCATTCATTGGCTATTCTTGCATTTGCCCTGACTGAGGATTGAACCTGCAACCTTGGTGCATCAGGACAATGCCCCAACCAATTGAGCTACAAAAGCAATTCACATTTCCTCGAAAATCTGAAAAACATAGAAAAGCACAAATGGGAAAACCAAATGTACTGCATTCGTTGCCTCAGGCAGGAATTAATTTTGATGCTGATTTCCTTGTGCTTCTTGTATTTATCTTTTTCTTTTTAAAGAGTTCATTTATTTACATTTAGAGAAAGGGAGGGAAAAAGAAGGAGAGAAACATCAGTGTGTGGTTGCCTCTCACCAGCACCCTACTGGGGACCTGGCCTGAAACCCAGGCACGTGCGTGCCCTTACTGGGAATCAAACTGACGACCCTTGGCTTTGCAGGCCGGCACTCAACCCACTGAGCCACACCAGCCAAGGCTATTTATCTTTTTCTATAAATATATATGATCATTAGAAAAAGTCAGTCATTTTTGCCCTGGCCGGGTGGGGTCCTGCTCACTGGGGAGCAGGGGTTGGACAACTAGAGGAGGTAATGTAACCCCACTCTGTCCATTTATTCAAGAATTTTCGCTGAGTGGCCACTGGCCGCTGGAGATACTGCTGCCAACAAAACAGAAGTGGCCGCCAGTTTCATGGAGGTCATAGTGCTGCATCATAAGTTGTCATGAAATGGGGGTCACGGTGGGCTGAGGGGCCGTGGGACCCCAAGCAGAGGCACCGGCCCCAGGCTTGGAGGCGTTCAGGAAAGGCTCCTGGACGGGCTCTTTTTCCTTCTTCTCCAGCCTCTTCGTCTGCCCAGTTGCTCACACCGAAGTCCTCTGGGTCTTCCTGGGTCCCTCTGACCTCCCTTCCCCCCGGATCCACCGAGGCTGCCTCGGAAATGTGGCCCGGCCCCGCCTTTGTCACCTTCCCTGGGCCTCCCACCACCCCCTGCCGCCTTCCTCACCTCCACGCCCCCCTCGAATCCTGAGTGGGATTTAAAAATATCATTTGGCTCAAATCATTTCTCTACTTAAAACTCCCCAGCAGCTTCTCCTTAGTCTTAGAGAATAACCAAACTCCATTTGTGACCCGCAAAAGCCACGCAGTCCGGCCCTCCCCGGGCCCGCAGCCGCCCGTGCCCAGGCTCCCTCCCGCGAGCTCACGGAGCAGCCGCCACGCTGACGCTACTGCGCCAGGCCCTTTCTCGCCCTGAACGTTCCAGGTTCCCTCCACCAAGAAGGCTTCCTCCCCCAGCTCTCCGCACGGTCTGGTCCCTGTTGTCCTCCGTTAGCTCTCAGCCCAACATCCTCAGCAAGGCCCCCGCCGATCCCCCCCTAACATAGCCCCGTGCCCCTTGTGTCTCCCTCCCCCACCCACTTACTTCATCAGTTTGCTTGTTGGCTTCTTTCTGCACTTTCTCCCTCCATTGAACATACATTCTGTTCTCAGGGACCATGTCTGTCTCTGGCTTGCTCACTACGATACTCTCAGTGTCTGGCACATCACAGATGTTCAGTTAATATTGGTGCCTAAATAAATGATTAGCAGCTATAGCCAGGGACAGAGCCCAGGCGAGGGAACAGCACGTGGGGCTTGGTGTAGTGTGGGGCCTCGTGGCAGCCGTGTCCCCGCAGCGGTCAGGCTGGGGACAGGACGCACACGCCCTCTGACTCTGTGTCCTGTGCTGCAGGCGGCTGGTGGAGCGGCTGGACACCATGAGGCGCAACGTGATGGGGAACGGCCTCTCCCAGTGTCTGCTGTGTGGGGAGGTGCCAGGCTTCCTGGGCGGCTCGTCGGTGTTCTGCAAGGACTGCAGGAAGGTAAGACCATGCTCTGGCCCTGCTCCTCTGGCCACCCAGCCTGGACCAGCTGTACTGCTGCTCTGTGGCCTTGCACCCTGGCTCCCAGGAGTGCATGTGTGTTTGTGCATACACATGTAAGCACATGGCGTCCTATGGTTCTTGGCAAGAAGGGTTGGAGCTTGAAGGTTGAATGGCCCGACTTCTAGAGCCAGCCCTGGGGAGTGCACCTGTGCATCTCGCAGGCTCGGGTGTGAATTCAGCTCTTCCTCTAGCCATGTGACCTCAGAGAACTTGTTCAATATGCCATGCCTCATTATTCTCACGTGTAGAACAGGAATAAATACAATATGTACCTTAGAGAGTTGGAAGGATTAAATATGGCATGCAAAGCATTTAAAACCTTGCCTGGCACATTAAGTACTCAATAAATGTTATTAGTTGTTATTGAGTAAATACAGTTCTCCTCAGAGCCAAGTTACATGCTCGGACCGCACCTCCTGTTCTGTTGGGCTGCTCTCCTGACCCTCGGCCACCCAAACGGGAGTGCTCTCTGCAGCAGGGCCAAATGGGTTTTCCCCTGATCTTATAATATCCCACTGATGGTTCTAAATTGTGCCACAGATTAAACTATTTCATATTGAAGCCAATACATTTTACAGTAACCTTTTGTTTTTCCTGGAGTTTCTGATTGCCTTTCTTTTTCATGTTGACGAAAGAATAATGTGCCTTCCAACCCTCCAGATTATTTAGCTTCTCAGTTTCACTCTCTCTCACATGGAGCCTGCGCTTTTGTCCCACCGGAAACCCTTCTAGGTTCTCGCTCTTGCTCGGGCTCAGACCGATGGCAGCGCAGCCATGACCACAGGACTTCCCTTTACTGCCCTCCTAGTTCAGGGACACTGTTCCCGAGACGCCGTGTCTTTTGCTTTTTTAGATTTTCACTCTTAAGTTTGTTGGGATCAATCTTCAGGTAACTTCCCTGGGCTAGTCCCTCTCTTAAGCCTGGAGTTATTTCAATGAACAAGACAGAGAAAGAACCTTCTCTCTTGAGAGTACATTGGGTGGGGGAGCCCAAAAATTTGGTAAGAAATGATCAACTAATTCAGGCCTCAGGAGGAATAGATTCTGGAAAGAAGTAACAGGGGACAGAGGACTGGGGGCGGGGTGGGGCGGTAAGAGTGGAGAGGACCGTAGAACATGAGGAAGTCAAAGCCTGGAGGCCAGTGGCAGCCTCGGGCAGGGCGTCTGCGATGGCATCCGGCAGCTGGGTCAGAGAAGCGAGGTGCAGAGAGGTTAACATGCCCAAGTAATAAGTGGAAAAAACGGGACTATAGTGAAGATGTTTTCCCCCACCTCCGCCCTGTGACATGCAGTGACCTGGGCTGAGGAATGTGGATTTACTGGCGAAGGGTCTCAAGGACACTTGGAGGGGCCTGGGTGTCAGGGAGGGGATGGGTCCTCATGTGCCAGCTCCTCCCGAAACCTTCCTTATACCCTGGACTCGATACCAGCATAGGTGGTGGGCACAGGGACTTGGGCAGGCGGGGCTCTATTTTGTGATTTCTGCCTCCTAGCAGTTTCTGTCCTCCCTCTGCCCCTCAACCCCACAACCGCTGCCCATGTTCAGGTTCGCTGGACCATGAGGAGGGAGCAGAGCCTTACCTCCTTCCCCCGGAAAGGTCGGGGGCCTCTGCCCCAGAGGCAGGCTGCTGCCCCTGCTGTGGAGGCTCAATACCGGTTGCTCCCCAGAGAACCACTTCCTGGGGCACGGGGGCAGGCCCAGGGGAGGACCTCCGCCGGGTGTGGGGGTGGGGGGGAATGCTCCTGCAGACACTCTCGCCCCCCCGACCCCATGGTGCTCTGGAGCACATTAGCCTTTGAAGTTATTCTTATTCTGCTGCAGGCCGAGGACTGGGTCCTGGCTTGCGTGTTCAGGTGAGGAGCCCTTTGAGCTTCTGAGGGGACTTGTCCTGGGTAAAAGTGGGAGGAGAATGTGCTGGTTAGGGCCCCAGCTGAGTGATGGGCACTGGGGGTGGGAGGTTTCTTCATCCATCCTGAAGAAGATTGTGCCATTCATTCATTCACTCATTCATTCATTTTTCAAATAGTAGAGCGGCCACACTGTGCAAGTCCTATTCTAGGGGCTGGTGATACTGTGAACAAGGTGGACAAATTTTTGTTCTCATGGAGACTGTTTTCTGGGGGTGGGCGAAGAGAGACAACAAACAGAATCACATCAGGTGGTCTGAGGGCTCTGTAGTGAGTGAAGGCAGGGTGACATGGCAGAGCCTGACCAGGAGGGCCCCTCGAAGCACAGACCTGAACACGAGCAGCCACCAGCCCCCCGAAGATCTGGGTGGAAAAGAGTTCCCAGCAGAGGGGACGGCAGGCATGCAGGCCCCTGAGGCAGCAGCCAGCTGAGCATGTTCAAGGAGCTAATGAAACATCTGGGCAGAGGGAGCAAGAGGTGGGCACAGCCCATCACACAGGGTTTCATAGTCAAGGTCAGGAGCTGAGATTTGTGCTAAGTTTAATGGGAGGCCAGTGGAGCCTGTGAGCAGGGTGTGATGTGAGCTGATTTGTTTTTAAGAGGCGAGTCTCGTGCTGTCTGGCGGGTGGGTTGCAGGGGGACATAGAGTGCAAGCTGGAGACGAATTCGTGACAGCTGTCACTGGGAGATGGTGGGGTTGGGGGCAGGACAGCCTGGGGAACGGGCACCTCCTGCTAGAGAATCAGCCTCTTCATGGTACTCTAAGCAGATGGGGAAGGATTAGAGGGTGTGATTAAGGGCCCTTGGGAGGAAAGGGTCCTTGATGGCAGTCGGGCCAGGGCGAGCGCGTACCTATCCCACCCTGCACGGTGAGTGGGTGCTGTCCCCACTGGGTTTGCCAGTGAGGGCTGTTCCCACACAGGGGGGCTGGGGTGTGGTCCCTGTGTGGCCACAGTGCAGGGACCTTGTACAAGTCTCTCAGTGTGTCTCAGCCTCTGGTTCTTCATCTGTAAACGGGATAATAAAGCTTATGAACTCATTGCCCGGGTGCGAGCAGTAAATGAGCTAATGCAGGGAAGCCCTTCGCAGAGGGTCCATCTCGAACACTCGGTAAAGGACACCTGTAGTGGCAGCTGTTACTGATCATCTGCTCCAACGTCCTAGCTGTTCGGACTGCCCACATGCTGTAAAGAACAGACCGTGCTGCCGTGGCTGGGTAGCTAAGTGAGTTGGAGCATCAACCTGTACACCAAAAGGTCGTGGGTTCCATTCCCAGTCAGGGCACATACTAGGTTATGGGTTCCATCCCCAGTCAGGGCACACACTAGATTGCAGACTCAATCCCTGGTCAGAGCGTGTACTAGAGGCAACCAGTCAATGTCTTTTTCTCACATCAGCCTTCCTCTCTCTCTCTCAAATCAACAAATATATCCTCGGGTAAGGAGCAAAAGAGAAAAGAATGGAACTTACCTCCCATATATCTCAGAAGAGGGTTAGTGTATCCCACGACCAGCTCAGGCTGCCGTAACAAAATACCACGGACTGGGCAGCGTCAACAACAGAGATTTATTTCTCGCAGCCCCGGAGGCCGGGAAGCCCAGGGCCGATGTGCTGGTGAGGCCAGTTTCTGGCGAGAGCCTTGGCCTGCAGATGGCCACCTTCACGCCGTGCCCTCGCCATGTCCTCGTGTGGTGGAAAGAGAACTCTGGTCTGTCTCCCACTCTTTCTAAGGACAGCGGTCCTATCTGATCAGGGTCCCATCCTTACGGCCTCATGTAACCCTGATTACCTCCGAAAGGCCCTGTCTCCGATACAGTAACGTGGGAGATCAGGGCTTTAATGTTTGAATTTTCAGGGGACACAGTTCAGCCCACAGATCCCCACATTCTCCTCATTAGAATTCATGTTTTCTTGGACTTAAAATCAGAGTTCCTACACTTAGTCTCATATTTTTTTGTAATTCCTATAAAAGCCTCTGGAAGTCCTTGCAGCTGTCCAGCATTGGGTGCCCTGAGCCAGCAGTGGAACCAAACTCCTCCATTTCTGTGCAAGTTCCTCATATAAAACTAACACACAGTCACTTATTCAGCCTGTTGCAGGCTGGTTCTGGGCCAGGGGGACCCAAAAGGACAAGCGTCCAAGTCCCTTCCCTCAGGTCTTCACGGTCAAAGTGGGAAAGCAGTATTCTCTGGAGTGATGCTGACCACAGCTGGGACAAAGGTATCCAGGACTAAGAGCAATCAGGAGGGCTGCCTGGAGGAGCTGATCCTAAAGCCTTCTGAGAGGCTGAGAGTAGAGTGAAGGGCATTCCATTCAGGGGAGAGCAGCACAGCAAAGATGTGGAGTTGGAAATGGGCTGGGCAAGCCCCTGACCGTGAGGACGCAGGCCCTGAGGGCAGGAGAAGTACTGAAAGAAGGAAAAACATAGGAGATGACATCAGATTTGACTTAAGAATGAGGGACTTGGAGAAGGGACAAAGGCCAGATCATGGGGACATGAAGACACAGGGCAGAGCAGAGACCTTTGTGTAGTGGAGCGGGCCTTGTCAGAAGGAGTTCTCTGAGGGCCAAGCTGCATGTGAGCAGAGTGGGCAGGTGCGCACGGCCCCGGAGCCCCGGGAGGCGATCGGAGCTGTCACACAGACAGCCTGCAGCCACTGCCAGGCACCGGCTACTTAGGAGAACCAGGAGTGGGGCCCAGACTTAGCCCCAGAGTCCCCAGCGAAGCCCTAGCCCTTGCAGGGGCTCTGTGGTGTCCCGGAGGGGTGGACAGGGTCCGCAGTTCCCTCATCCAACAAGCATGTACTGTATTCCCACTGGTGCAGGCGGGGGGTGTGGTGTGAGGACAGACAGATCCCTGCCACCCAGAAGGATGGATAATTAGTTAGAGCTGTGCCCAGGTTACAGCCGCAGCCCTAGGGGCCTGAGAGCTCTCACAGGGCACTGGCCCAACTGGGGCATCAGGGGCCCCCCCAGTCTGGGTTCACCAATGACTGGGTGCTTCTGTTTATTTCCACTCCACTTTCTG